TGTCTGCATTTTCTATACTCTAATGGTTCTAAGCAGGGGATCTGGAGTCAGGCCGTCTGGGTCCCCTCTATCAGGACTCTGTGCAGGCCCTGGCCTCCCAGAGCATCAGTCCTGCAGGATTATTGTAAGGGTTTAATTAGTGGTTACATCTGAAGCAGTCAGGAGGGCCGAGCAAAGTAGGCTGCAACTGTTTTGTGATGGTGATGATAAGAATGTGCACACGCAGAGTTTGAGAGAAAATGTTTTCCTTGTACCAGTGATCACTGTAAGAGAAAAATCTGTCCTTGTGCCCTTGGAAACTCAGGGTCACAGCCTTGCCCCAAAGACGGCCCCCAAAGACGGCCATGGTAACATTGTTGATCGTCTGAACAATGAGGAATCCAAACGTCCAGCAGAAGAGTAACTCCTGTGCTTGTTTTCTAAATGGTATACAATGTAGCCATTATAGATGCTTGCCGATGTTGTAACAAAAATGCTTTTATTACCCTAAGTATGGGGAAGGGGGAAAGATGGGCATGGAAATGATATACGCATGAGCTCCGCCATGTAAATATCCATGGCAAAGGAAGAGACCCAATACATTACACTACAGCAGCGCTCATGTCTGGGCAGTGGCAGGATTGACATCCCCTTTGTTATTGTTGTTGAAGTGTTCAGCCTTTCTCAAATGAGTGTTAAACTCAAAATCAGAAAGTTATTAAACTTGAGGCACATAAACTATGGCACAGCCATAGTGGGAGTGAAAAGATGGGCAAGGTGCAGGTACAATCATCACAGAAATTTAGCGATTGAGATGTCGTGGGTATTTGCAACAACTGACAGCCAACATCGAGAAAATGAATGTTTCAGACACTGCCATTTACAACACCATCAAAAAACATCAGTTACCTACAAATAAATCTTAACAAAAGATAGGCAAGATCTCTCTGCAGCAAACGCTGAAAGAAATGTAAATGTCATGATGTTACTTTATTGTAAAGATGTCAGTTCCCTCTATATTTAGCTATAGATTTAGGGCAATCTTAAAGGAAATCTTAGCAAGTGTTTTTGTGAAAGTTGAGTAGGTGATTTTCAAATTTATATGGAAATGCAAAGGGCCAAAAATAGCCAGTGTAATATTGGGGGGAAAAAAGAAGGGAAAAAAGTCGGGAGCACTTCCATTATCACCTAGGAAGATTTATCACAAAGCCGCAGTCATTGGACATCATGGTATCAGCACAAAGGTAGTGAATAGATCAGTGGAACTAGAGCATTCAGAAAGAGTCCCTGCAGGTGCGGTCATCTGATAAACGACAGAGGGGACGTTAGAGTGCATGGGAGAAAGCAGGACCTTTTTAGCAAAGGATGCTGACTCAACTAGATATCCATATGGAAAAAGTGAATTTTGGCCAATATCTTACACCATCCACAAAAAATCAGTTCCAGATGTACCCTAAGACAAAATGTGTGAGGGGCAAGGAGCCTCACAGTAATAGGTGCTACCCTGTCTCTACCTCCTGCCTCCCTCACCTGGGATGGAGAAGCGGGTCCTCTGGCTCATGGCATGACCCCTGCCCCCAGCTTCTGGGATCCATACGTAATCAATCTCGTGACTCTCCTTCCTTTGCGTGGGTGTTGAAACGACATCTTCAAACAAAATGATCCTCCCTCCCCGCCTCGGGTTTCACTTCCCCAAGGTGGGGGCTCCCGTACTAAGGGGGCTACCTGCCGCCCCCATGTGGGTGGCCGCTGCCTCTTCATCCAACTGCATATTTTTATTTTTTTCTAATGTTTACTGGTTTTTGAGAGAGAGAGAGAGAGACACACACACACACACACACAGTGTGAGTGGGGGAGGGGCAGAGAGAGGTAGAGACAGAATCCTCTGACTCTGAGCTGTCAGCACAGAGCTTAACATGGGGCTTGAACCCATGAGCTGTGAGATCATGGCCTGAGCTGAAGGCTGATGCTTAACCACTGAGCCACCCAGGTGCCCCTGGCTGCATATTCTTAATTCAGCACACCAGCTCCTGCTTCTCAACACAGAAGACTTCACCAAGAGATGTCAGGAGTTAGAAGCCAGGGCTGACCATAAGATTTTAAACTCTCCTCTCCCTACGGTGGTTTTTCAGAGCAGAGCCGCTTCCCCGGGCCCCCAGGCCGCTGCTTCCTATGAGGCCAGGAGTGTGTTAGTGGGAGGCTAATGGATTCCATCCCCTCGGCAGAAGGAAACACCAGAGGGGGGGAGGATCTGCCCCTCCCCCCCCCCCCCCCCCCGTCAACAGCACCTGCCCTGGCATGGTAGGGGGCACACTGTGGGTTGTACCCAGAATGACACTGATGGCTGTGGTGTGGGTGACACAACTACTCTGAAACTTTCGTGGGAGCTTATTCAGAATGCAGACTTGGGGGTCTGCACCCCAGAATCAGATTCAGTGGGTCTGGGGTGGGGAGCTAGAATCTGCAGCTGAAACAGGGGTTTCTGATGCCGGGGTCCCGTGAAGCACAATTTGAAAAACTCTGCTTTGAGCTTCTTGGCGAAAATGCGCTGGAAGGGAACGGAGGCATAGATTCAAGAGTGGGTCCCCCCCCATCAGCTTCAGCGTATGGGGGTCCCTTGGCACAGGGGGAAGCTGGCCTCCAGGCCCATATGCAGCCTCGCCTGGAGATTTGGGCACAGGTGGTGGAGATCTCTATTTTTGGAGAGCTGTTCTAGTTGTTGTGTTAAAAGTTGCATGCAATCTTTAATGAAATGATTAAGTAACTGATTATATGGTCTTTAAAACAGAACAAACAGCAACAATATTAATAAATAAAACCCAGTCCCCTGAAGCAGATTCATCCTGACTGTTCCATCTGCAAGGTTCTACCTCTTTAAGATACCCTACCCATTTCTTTAAAAAAATTTTTAAACATTTATTTACTATTGAGAGGCAGAGAGAGACAGAGCATGAGCATGGGAAGGCCAGAGAGAGGAGGAGACACAGAATCTGAAGCAGGCTCCAGGCTCTGTGCTGTCAGCACTGAGCCCGACACCGGGCTCGAACTCACAAACTGCGAGATCATGACCTGAGCCGAAGTCAGCCGGTCAACCGACTGAGCCACCCAGGCGCCCCTATACCCTACCCATTTTTAGAGATCTTCGATGGCAGGATCCTGTCTATTCTTTCCCTGCCTTGCTCTCACCAGCCCCACCTCCAAACTGAAGGTAGCCGTAAAAGAAGTCAGGAGGTGACCCTTCTTGAGTCACTTCCTCTTAGTGTCCCCTTTTCCTTCCCCAACCGTGACAGCTGAAGTTAGCCTGGAGGTGCCATCTTTTTTTTTTTTAACTTTTTTTTTTTTTTGAGAGAGAGAGAGAGAGAGAGAGAGAGATCGAACGTCCTCGAGAGTCACCATCTTTTTTTTAACTTTTTTTTTTTTTTTGCGAGAGAGAGAGAGAGATCGAGTGTGCTCGAGAGTGGGGGGTGCAGAGAGAGAGAGGGAGACAGGATCTGAAGTGAACTCTCTGCTGACAGCAGAGAGCCGACGCGAGGCTGAAACTCAGGAACTGCGAGCTCATGACCTGAGCCAAAGTCAGACGCTTTACCGACCGAATTACGCAGATGCCCCGCCGTCTTAACGACTCTTCAAGTTTTTATATAAATTCCAGTTGACAAGCATAAGAGTCATTTCAGGTGTAGAATTGAGCCGTTCAACACTTTGCACCTGGGAAAGTGCACGCCTTAATCCCCATCACCGGTCTCACCCATCCCCCTACCCCCTCTCCTCTGGTAACTGTCAGTTCTCTATAGTTAAGTGTCTGTTTCTTGGTTTGCCCCTTTTTTTTGCACCCCCCTCCCCCGCCGTTTGTTTGTTTTGTTTCTTAAATTCTACAGATGAGTGAAATCATACAGTATTTGTCTTTCTCTGGCTCATTTCACTTAGCGTAACACTCTCAAGCTCCGTGTGTGTCGGATGCAAAAAGACTAATTCGAGGGGGCAGAGGCCCCCCGGTGTTGACAGCCGCACTGTCCCTAATAGCCAACTTCTGGAAGAGCCCAAGTGCCCACTGACTGACAAACGGCTGAAGATGTGGTGTATATACAACGGACTGTTACTCAGCCGTAGAAGAGAAGGAGCTCTTGCCATTTGCAGCAACGCCATCCCTTACAAGCTGTGGGGCCCCACCCCCCCCCCCCCCCCCCCGCCCAGGGCACTCGGCCAGACGCTAGTCCCCACACTGCCCAGGACCAGCCTCGGTGATTCTTTCAGTTGTCCTGATCACCAGTAGCGGCCTGAGGCTGGGTCCGGGTCGGCCTGCCTCTCCCCCGGCGGCGGGCTCAGGCCTGGTGCAGCCCAGGCCTTTGGGGAGCATGGGGCACAGTGCAGGAGCCTCCCTCCCAGACCCACTTAACTTTGATGGGCATTCAGCACCTGAGGTCGGTGCCTTGAACCTCGAGCCGCAGGGTTTAGTCCAGCTATCACTTCTGATGGTTCTGATGGGCGTGTGATTGTCTTGACTGCAGGTGGCTTTTGCCCCTGCGACTGGTTTGGGGACCTACCCTCCCTAACCTGTGACTCCGCCTTTCTCAGTCCCTGCACCAGCCCGGCTGGCTGCGGGGTTTATGCCAGACTCTTGGCCTGGGCCGTGTGCCTGCACTCGCTCCACCAGCATCGGGATCACGTGGGGAGAGTGTGACAAGGCCCGCGAGTCCTGCTGGTTCCGAGTCTCCAGATGGGCTCCGGCAGCCCCCGCTGTATCCACCCTTCAGGTGATTCTCTTGCACACCGGAGGTTGAGGATGGCCGTCTTCAAGGGCTTGATGGTTCCCTGGCATCAGCTTGGGTTGGCGTGTTTCTGGCTAACCCTTCACAACACTGTCTGCCATGTGTCTTGGGTGGTGAGTAGCATCTCTGGATGGGAGTTGGGCTAACCACATCTGAGCTATGGCCGCTAGTTGTCCTCAGAAACGTCGCCGGCGGTCACCGAGCCTGGTTGGCCATTTCAGTTGGTAATGCTTCATTTTCTTTCCTTTTCGTCAGGTATCTGTACCACGTTTTGACCAAAAACACCACAGTCACAGAACAGAACCGGAACCTGCTAGTGGAGACCATCCGTTCCATCACCGAGATCCTAATTTGGGGAGATCAAAATGACAGCTCTGTATTTGAGTAAGGGTTTCTCATGTGTTTTTTTGTTTTGTTTTTTGACTCTCCTCCCTTTGACTATTTTTCTAAATGTATCCCATGAGTCATTCTTGATGACATCAGGATCTGATACCAGCCTGGTCTTGCGCAGATAGCTATCTATATCTCTATCCATACAAAATGTCCTTGAGACACTGGAGAAATGTAAGCTGAAAATGGGAAAGGGACATGAGCGTCTCTCGAAAAATCTGAAAATATCATGGATGATTTTCCAAGTAGCATCTGACAGCCTCCCCAAAGGGCAGAAAACGTCCTGGGAAGTTAGCTTCGAAGTGAGCTGACAGGGCCCTGCCCTGGAGAGACACGAAGGGCTCATATTTATTGTGTTAACTGTTGGGCAGGCACAGTGCTGAGCTCCCGATGAGATAATCTGAGTCTCCCAGCTGCCCCGGGGGCGGTGTCCGCGTCCCCATTAACCTCCTATCACACCGCTGGTAGGCAGGCACGAAGCAGCTCACGCCCAGAGTCCACGAAGGGGTTTCTTCTCGTTGGCGTACTTCCTAGATGGGCAGTTTTAGTCCAGCCTCACTTTCCTCATCTTTAAAGGAGAGTTCCTGCCTACTGCCCGGTACAGAGGAGGCGCTCCAGAATTGTTAGCACGTGGTAATTTGGAAAGATGTCCCTGTTGGACGGATGAAAAGCAAAGGCTGGAGGCCACGGACAGCTTCCCCAGGAGAACCTGTCTCGGTGTCTGAGTGCAGAGGGACTCGGGTTACAACCACTACCAAAGACAGGTTTTATTTTTATATAAGATAATCTCAACTGGAAGCTTTGAGGCCCCTTAAAAAGCCCCTTTGAAACAAGTAAAGGAGTTCCATTTCCAGCCTGGCTTATTAGCTAATCTGATTTTCCAGATAGCTTTCTGTCTTCATCCGTACTTGTGGAAAATGCAAACCCGTGACGCCGGCCTCTTCCCCGAAGGAAAACAGGAGTAGGGAGGGAGGCGGTGCCTGCAGAGGGGACTAGATGCATCTCAGGACGCACGGGGAACCGCTTGGTCGGTTGCTGTCTGTTTTGGGGATGAGATAGACCCTTAGGTTAAAGGCTAGAGACCGTGTCCCTCTTGACTAGCGTGGACTTTCTGAGCCAATCTGTTGTCTCAGAACAACTGCCCCGTGCTTCCTAAATGGCCCCCCCGTGGAGTGCCCAGGAGAATTTGTTTTTAATTCATTTCTTTTAGAATAACTTTAGATTTATGGAAAAGTTGCAAAGCTAGTACAGAAAGTTCCCCAGCACCCCTCACCCCGTTTCGCCCACTGTTAACGTCTTATATGACTGGGGTGCATTGGTCAAAACCGAGAAGCTTGGTTCGTGACTGTTCGGTAGACCCCTGACTTGATTTGGATTTTGCCAGTTCTTCCATTAAGATCCCCCTTCTGCTCTGGGAACGCAGTCCAGGCTCTCACGGTGCCGCAAAGTGTCGCATCTCCCAGCCACCTCTGGTCTGTGACTGATTTTCAGTCTTCTCTTGTTTTCAGGAGCAAACCTTGATGTGTTTGAGAAGTACTGGCCATTCCCCCCACCCCGATGTGGGTCTCTGCGATGTTTACTCATGATTAGCCTGGGGTAGAAACAACTGTAACAAATATGTCCTTTTCAGCCCACGGTATCAGCAGCCCCCACATCCACCTGCGCTCTAGTGAAGTTACTCTGATTGTTTGGTTAAAGTGGTGTCAGCCAGGTTCTTCCACTATAAAGTTACTCTTGTCCCCATTCCCTACACCATGTTTGAAAGAGTCACCCAATGTAGCCCACCTGGGGGCTTGGAATTAAGCTCCAACCTTCTGGAAAGGGGTGAGTAGCTATGTACAGTATTTGAAAATCTGCACAGATTTGTCTCTTTTCCCCATTTATGTATTCAGTGAGTTGTTTATTTTTAAGAAACAGACTCTTTTTTAAAAAATATTTATTTTGAGGGGCGCCTGGGTGGCGCAGTCGGTTAAGCGTCCGACTTCAGCCAGGTCACAATCTCGCGGTCCGTGAGTTCGAGCCCCGCGTCAGGCTCTGGGCTGATGGCTCGGAGCCTGGAGCCTGTTTCCGATTCTGTGTCTCCCTCCCTCTCTCTCTGCCTCTCCCCCATTCATGCTCTGTCTCTCTCTGTCCCAAAAATAAAACGTTGAAAAAAAAAATTAAAAAAAAAATATTTATTTTGAGAGAGAGAGAGAGAGAGAGAGAGAGAGAGAGAGAGAGAATGAGAGGGAATCCCAAGCAAGCTCTGGACTGTCCGCACAGAGCTCAGTGCGGGGCTCGACCTCACAGTGAGATTGTGACCTGAGCCAAAAGCAAGAGTCAGATGTTCAGCTGAGCCACCCAGGCACCCCACTCATTTATTTATATCAATATGGGCTCATGATGTTTGTTTTATACTTTGATTATTAACAAGTTCCCAAATTGGTCATTGTGCTGCACTGAGCCTGTCGGGCGACCCTTGGGAGTTACTGATTTATTCAACCTGAAGCACAGGTGGACACAATGGGTCAAATGGTAGAAATATTCTTGGGATCAGCGTGACTGACATTTGTAGGCAGACAGGCTCCCAGAATCAGAGTTGAATAAGTTGAATAATGTTTACTTATTCATTTACCCTTTCAGGAATTCAAACAGAGGTTATGTAGCCCCGAGCAAGTGCCAGGCCCATGGTCCTGCCACCGTGGAGCTGAGAGCCGAGGGGAGAGAGACCCTCAGAACTAAGTGACAGATACATGTGACTGCAGGGACCTGTTGTGAGTGTCCCAAATGAGAGGTTACCTGGTCCTAGCTTGCATACAGAGAACATGTAGCTAGAAAACCCCATTTTCTTCCTTTAAAGAAAGGCATAGGGGGTTCTGTCTCCATTTCAAGACTAAAAGAGCCAACACGTAGCCCAAAAGTGCGTGTTCCCGGGCTGCATGCAGACAGCTGTCCTGTCCAGAACAAGAAAGGCAGAAGCTGACTTAGGGACTGACGAGGGTCTCCCTGCCACATCGGCCCCTTCAATTGCCTCCAGTCTCTTTCCCTGGATTTGGAAACCCATATTCTTTTAGTAGCATTATTTTGCCCCATTGGAGGGAATGCTGGTTGTTACTAACACTCAAAGATACGAAAGCCAAGGAAAGAGGCCTAGTACGGAAAGCTGAGGATACAGAGTATTGGATGGAGAATGCTGCCTGTCGGGTTTCCAAGCATAGGTAGAATAATGTGTAATCACTTTGGCGGTAAAGATCTCGCCCTTTCTGTAGGAATCGAGGTCACGGCTTCCTAGGATCGGCCGTGTGCTCAGATTCTGGGGAGAGAGCGTGAGTGGCTGCGTTTTGTGGTGGCGGAAGGAGGCATCGAGCGAGGGGAGGAGCCGGGGCCACGCAGCCCGTGTGACCTGGCTGCTCTCTGGATGCCTTTGGGGGCCGGGGGCGGCCCCCACACACACGCGGTGCACATAGCCAGGGGGTGACGTGTATCTGCACGAGTAGCAGCAAACCTCTGATGCTTTACCCTTCTCTCCCCAGCTTCTTCTTGGAGAAGAACATGTTTGTTTTCTTCTTGAACATCCTGCGGCAGAAATCAGGCCGCTACGTGTGCGTTCAGCTGCTGCAGACCTTGAACATCCTCTTTGAGAATATCAGTCACGAGACCTCACTCTGTAAGGATAGCCCCTGGTACCTGCCCCCTCACTGCTGAGCTTTGGCGGCCTGGAGTTTGGCGTGGTTTTCGTGTGGCTTTTTGAACGTCTGAGCTTACTGTGTGTGTTAGGGCGCTTGGGCTGCTGTCACAGAATGCCCCAGACCTGGTGGCTTAGACAACAGAAATTTATTTTCTCCTAGCTCGGGACGTTAGAAGTCCAAGATCAAGGTGCCATCAGGGTTAGTTTCTGGGGAGGCCTTTCTTCCTGGTTTGCAGATGACTGTCTTCTCGTTGTGTCCTCACGTGGCCTTTTCTGTGTGTGTGTGGGTGTGCACGCGTGTGTGTAGTGAGTCTGGTATCTTTTCCTCTTTTAAGGACACCCACCTTTGACCAGGGTCCCGCCGTAGGACCTTGTTTAACCTTAATTACCTCCTTAAAGCTTCTGTCTCCAAATACAGTCACACTGGGGGCCGGGGCTTGACTATGATAATTTGGGGGCCGTGCAGTTCAGTCCCTAACCATGTTTATCCCTGTGTAGTGGGGTACTGGGAAGGGCTGTGAGGGTTCCTCTCCGCTGAATGGTTCTGGGCTGTTCATATTTTTTTCTTTATAACTTGTGGGGGTTGCTGAATAACCAGCCAACAGGGAGGGGCTTCTCTGGCTCACTAAGTCAGCTGCCCTGGAGGGTTCCTGCGTGTTTGATGAGGTACCTTTGATGATACCGTGACCAGGTGGGCACGAGTTACTACCGCATGTAGTAAGAGACCTTTGGCTGCAACATCATGGGAGGACATGAAGGAAGGAGTCGTTTGAGGGCGAAGCCCAAAACCTACCAAAGGGTAAACAACTTGAAGCCAGTAGGCTCTCTGTTAAAAATGATGCGCCTCAAGCAAAACACAAAAAGAAAAGAAAAAGGATAACTTAAATGAAGGTGTAAATGGATTTCTGGAATACCCAAGACAAAACTCACAGGTGGTTCATAATGGGGAGATGATAGCAACATTCAGGAGGTAAGGGAAGAAATTGCAGTTGCTTTGAAAAGGGAAGGAAACTAAAAAGACCAGCAGCAAAGAAAAATGCAGTGGTAGGTTTCCACTGTAGAAAACCTGGCCACGGGATTGCAGATCGCCCAGCCATCCTCGAGAATCACGATACGGGCACTGGAGTGTGGGTCCACAGAGCATGAACTCACCTAGGGCGGAGCCAAAGTGGACCCGGCTCTTGGTGAATTTCCTCCCGCAGAATGTTTTGTTGGTGGAGAAATGGGGCATCTGCCCATAGCTTGTCCTGAGAATCCCAGGGGACTCTGTGCTGATGGTGGTTGCTGTAGACTGTTGTTCTGTGGAACATTTTAAGCGAGATTGCCCTGAGAGAATTCAGACGGAATGGTCACAGCCGGCCGCTGGGCGAAGGGATCGAGTGCAGACTATGAAGAAAGCTTGGATGCGCCTGAACCACAGAAATCCAAAACAAAGATACCTAAAGTTGCTAATTTTTGGTAACAATTAGTACCGTCGTTGGGTACCACCTCGTTAACCATTCCGAACTGGGCCTACTTCGCAAATTGGAGCTGGGCCCCCTTGGAGACCTGTGCTCAAGATACCAGTACGATCTGGGTATCGTCAAATAGCTTCCTGAGTGCTGTCCATTAAAGAGTGATTCCGTCCCTGGAGAAAATGACTCAAGAAAAGTAGAAGATGTTCACACTGGATTCTCCAAAAGAACATTTTTAACAGACAGAACTGAAGTATGGCTAAGTGGAAATGAAGTTTTGGTTATATTGTTTTCTTGGTTTGAGGTATCAATTATTATATTACGAATTTGTAAGTTGCCACAGAAACTACGGCATTCTTAAACTTTCAGTAAAAACTCACTTGCTATTAAAAAAAAAAAAACAAAAAAAACAGCCAACAGCACAGGCCCTGGAGGTAGCAGGGTGAGGAAGAACAACCCAGGAGCAAGCGAGAGTGAGACCCAAGCTCCTTCTCTGGCCTCACTAAGCCCAGGCTCCTCCTCTGACACAGCCGCTCTGGGAGACAGGTGCTGTGGGCACCCTCACTTCGTGCCGGGAGAGGTTGCGTCACGAGCCTGTGGTGACCGCTCTAGCGGTGCCCAGATCCGGAAGGGGTTTGAGTCCAGCTGCGTTAGTTCAGTGCCCGCACCCCGGGGTGACTGTGCCCCAGGAGGACATTTGTCGGTGTCGTGTTGGGTGAGGGGCTGGGGGTGCTGTTAGCCTCTGGCGGGTGGAGTCCTGGGATGCGCAGGACCGCGCCCCACGGTAAAGGGCTATCAGCGCAGAGTGTCAGCAGAGCCCAGGGTGGGAAACGTTGGTTTAGGTCCTCCTCCTCCGGGCTTGACTGGCTCGCTTTGCGATCGGCGATCCCTGGGCCCTGCCCACCAGGAGTAGGGAAGAGAAGACAAGTGACCGGATGTCTGTGTCAGAAGCAGGCTCTAGGTCCCCAAGAAGGGTCTAGGAAAAGTTTCTGGTGGATGGAAGGGGGTAAAGACAGTGGCATCCCTATCAGGAGGGAGCGGGGAGAGGCCGGAACCGGCTGCTGAGCGGAGGCTCTCAGGGTGGCCACTAGGTGGTGCTGCCGTCCCAGGAGCCTGCGCTCACACTTCCCGGTGAATGAATGGGAGTTGACAGATGTGAGTTGACTCACTCTCCCTAAGTGGTTTCCCGTGTTAACAGCTTTTGTTACCCTGGATGCGGATTGTGAGTGGTTTCTGAAAACTGACAGAGGGGAAGACCCAGCTCGGTGGTGCAGGCCCCGGACTCCAGCCCCCCAGCCCCCGGGCCCAGCTCTGCCGGATTCGCCCTGCACGTGCTCTGGGGGCGAACTGTCCTCTCCAGGCTGCACCTTCTGCTTCTGTGGAGCAGAGATGACACTCGTATCTGGGGAATGGGGTGGTTTGAGGACTAAGCGTGACCGCGGGTGTGCGGAACGTGGTGTGGGGTCTGGCAGGTGGAAGTGTCCACTCAGGCTGGTTTTATCATTAAATCCAGCGTCCCCCCCCCCCCCCAAAGGTCTGTTTTCTGGTTACCCTTCCTAAGCCCAGCTCTCCCTGGGGCTCCTGGATCGAAGGTGGGGGTTGGGGCAATAGGAAACGCTGGAGTTCCTGGATCACACGGCTTTCCGAATTGGGACCTAGAAGGATACTGTGCTGTGAGGTACGCAGACAGATGGCACTATCTTTACAGGGAATTCACCAGAGTCCTTTTTGTAAGCCCTGCAAAAGCGGCCAACAGCACCACCTTTGACAGAACTTTGATTTGTGGGGGTGAGGAGGACGTGTGAGTTTTGCTTTTATTTTTATTTTCCAATTATAGAAAGAAAATATCCGGATTATAAAACAGCAACAACAAAAATCAAACGCCGTGAGAATATAGAAAGCAAAACTTCTGCAGAGCCTCACCCTACCCCTTGGGTAGACACAGCGCGTACTGCCTTCTGCTTTACGTGGTCCCCACTTGCTGATGTATCTTAGATGTTCATACGGTCCGTTCACGTGTCCTCACCTCGTTTGGTTGACTGGTGGCATCTTGCTGAGCCCCTAGTGATTGAACTTGACCACGGGCATTTAGGTGGTTTCCGGATTTTCACTATTACCAGCAGCCATTTCACAAGTGCACCTGTTGCCCGTCGGGTTTGGGGACCTAAGTCACAGGAGGCCCGAGAGACCGAGATTACGTACAGACTCCTGGGTTGATTAGAAAAGGATACCACAGAAAGTCGGCCACACGGTGAGGGGGCAGTGGAAAAATCCCAGCCGAATAATAGAGGCACCGCTGCTGCCCCCATGGCGGCCCCCACCGCCCACAGAGTCATCGCGTGGAGGCCCTGGAAAAGTCCCCGCTGGGGAATGATTGGAGCGTGTGACTTTTCCAGCTGAAAGCGCAGCAAAGAGGCTCCTGGTTGTACGTCTGAGGCTGATGGCATAGACGTCTGTGCCTCTGATGGCCCGGAAGCTGCCAGCCAGTCACAGTGGGGCTCCACGAGACGTCTCAGGAGTCCCTTGTCCTGCTAGCCAACGCACCCCCAACCATGGCCAGGAGGACAGTGAAAAAGAAGGGCTCTGGGCGTCAGCATCACATGGGCTGCTCCTTCCGAGTTAAGGTTCAAGGTGGTTAAATTGTCGACTGTTGAAAGAGTAGAATGCTGCATAGCAAAAAGGAGCAAAGGGATGCACTGTTACCACCGCCTGCAGCACTGTGGGTAACTCTCAGATGCGGTAACGAGTGACAGGGGCCGGACACAAGAGGCCTGTGTGTCGTATGATCCATGGGTATGAAGTTCAAGAACAGGCAGGGGCACCTGAGTGGCTTAGTTGAGTAAGCATCCGATTTTGGCTCAGGTCATGATCTCGTGGTGCGTGAGTTCGAGCCCCACATCGGGCTCTGTGCTGACAGCTCAGAGCCCGGAGCCTGCTTCGGATTCTGTGTCTCCCTCTCTCTCTGCCCCTCCCCTGCTCATCCTCTGTCTCTGTCTCTCTCTCTCTCAAAAATAAGTAAATATTAAAAAAATAGGCAAAATGAGTCTATGTGATCCAAGGCAAACCAGAACTTGCCGTTGGGGAGAGGGTATTGACTGGATAGGGCTATCAGGGAGCCTTCTGGGGAACAAAAAACATACTCTGTCTGACCTGGATGGTGCTTACGTGGTGTATATATTTGCAAAAATTCCTCAAGCTGGATGTCCAAGACTTGTGAGGTGTGTACATATGAATAAGTACATAGGTACGTAGACTTTATATCCACATATACGTACATTTCCACACAGATTAAGCTGTCCGCTCAAGATTTGTGATCCATGTGACCTCAATTTTGAACAGTTAAAAATTGTTGATATTTTTAAAAATTTGTTAAAAGTTGTTGATTTAAGATTTTTTTTTAAAAAATTGGCAATTAAGTCAATGAAGATTTTTAGGAACCCCTCCCCCGCCCCGCTGCCCCCTCTCTTGGAGCAGGCCCCAAAATTTGCGTCCAGAATTGTGAGAATCTGGAGATTCTGAAAACTGTTCTGGGACTACAGACTTCTGTAAAGCCGAGGACACCCAGCGTGCTTTCCGGAAGGCAGCGGCTTTCCTGGAGAGCTGGCTTCTGAGGAGGACCCGGCTGTGGGCCCCGTGCTCCCGGATGGATCTTTGGGGCGCGTCTGGTGATGTCAGTCTTTCTGGTAGTACTTTGATCGGTTTACGTTGGATACCTCTTTGGCACCAAATAATGGTTTATTTCCGTTTTTTCTTTAAGTTTGTTTATTTTTTGAGAGAGAGAGAGAGAGAGAATGCAAGCGGGGAGGGCAGAGAGAGAAGGGCCAGAGGCTCTGAAGCAGGCTCTGTCGACGCAGCCCGATGCGGGGCCCAAACCCACAAACCATGAGATCATGACCTGGGCCGGAGTCAGATGCTCAGGTGACTGAGCCACCCGGGCGCCCCTGCAGTTTATTTCCTATTCCCCCTGAGAGCACCTGTGTTCAGTCCTGGTGGCTGGAGGCTCCACGTGAGGGTGCTGGATGGAAAGTGGCCGCGGCCGTTACTGAGTGCTTGCTTTGTGCCCGTCGCTGCCCTTCGTACCTCATCTCCTTTAATCCTCACAGCCGACCCCTGAGGAAGGCACCGTTACTCCTGTATTTAGACAAGGAGACTGGGGAGTGGAGAGGCTAAGTGGCTTTCCCGGGGTCACCCAGCTGGGAGGTGGCAGGGGCAGAGTGGATCCAAGTTCCCTTCAAACACGCTGCCTCTGAGACGTGTGAGCACAACAGGAAGCCACGCAGGGCTCCTTAACCCACGGAGTGTGCCGGGTCCGCCCCTGAGATTGGAGGAGGTGGGCAGGGCTGGGGCCCGAGGTTCCACGTGTCCCACGAGCTCCAGGTGATGCCGGGCTACTTTGAGTAGCCAGGCTCCACACCGCTCAGCTTCGCTGAGCGAAGGGGTTGATCACGTTCTGCCTTTAACCATTTGGGGTGTGTGGATGGGCTGGGTCAGAGCTCACAGGCTGGCCGTCCGAAGGACAGGGGGTGGCAGCGCCTGCTTTGCGGGGTGGCTGATGAGGATTAGGAGACATGCCTGGAAAGGACTCGAGGCCGGGACTGTGCCCCGCAGGCCGCGGCTGGCCCGTACCCCGGATGTTGCCACCAGAACAGCTTTAAGGACCAGGTGACCTAGGGGCCAGCGTGTCAGAGTCAGGAGATGGAACATTCACCTCTGTTTTCCAGCCCCTCGAACAGTTGAAGGCTCTCACCATGCTGGGTCTGCGTCTGTGCAGGGGCTGGGGGCTGGGAGGGGGTAGCCACTCTCCAGTCGGTCCCAGTGCCTCAGGCCCTCGGCACCCAGATTTCATTACTGGCTCCCATTAGTGCGTGCTGCTAACACAGGCTTTGACAGAGGACCCGCCTTAAATCCCATGTCTGTGACAGACTGCTGTGTGACCTCTGGAAAGTTAATCGACCTCTCTGAATTATTTTACTCTTCTGCAAAACGGGAAGAAGACCACCTGCTCTGCAGGATGGGTGCAACGATAATGTAAAGCGCTCAGCCTGGTGCTGGGCATCCCCGGGAGGTTTAGCATAAAGTAGCTTTTATGAAACTGTGTTGCCGTATAGGGAGAAAAAAACCCCACGTAGCCCTTTGTAGCATTCAGGGATGACAGTATGACTCCTGATGGCAAAATGGAGCAGCTTTTAATAAAATAGGTTGGTTTTTACCCTTGCCCGTGGGTGGTTTGTGCAAATGCCCACGCACCAACACATCTGCCCCACCCCCAGCTCTCTGGTGAACTTTGTCAGCAATGAAAAAAAAAGTTCAAATGTTTTTTCTATTTGGTGTAGGAGGGTGGGGTAGTCCGGGCCCTTCTGTCATGGCTCTTGAACTTTCTTGGGGCTGTGCGTTGTGCCTGGCTGACTTCTTTGCTGGTAGACAGGTAAAGCTGCTCCCTGGCGACCCAGAATCTCGAGGGGTTCAAGTACATTCACAGAGTCGTCTGTTACCCAGTTTTGTCGCTTGACTTTCCTTCGGCGTGAATTAACCTGCCTTCCTTTTTTTTTTTTTTCCCCTCCCTCTAGATTATTTGCTCTCTAATAACTATGTAAATTCTATCATTGTCCATAAGTTTGACTTTTCCGATGAGGAGATTATGGCATATTATATATCATTCCTGAAAACACTTTCGTTAAAACTCAACAACCACACCGTCCATTTCTTTTACAACGAGGTAAGTAACTGCCAGAGGGGTGCGTTTGGGTGGAAAGCTAGCTAATCGGAGGGGGACCCTCAGTCCGGGGGTCTCGTGCCTGTTTACAAAGCGCGTGGGCACTCACCATTTCCTGATTTTTCACAGCAACTGTGTTTGACCTTGACAGGCTTAAAAAAAAAAAAAAATATATATATATATATATGTGTGTGTATATATATATATACATACATATATATATATATTTGATTTATTTAAAAGTTACCTCTCTGTTTTTAACGTGAAATTCAGTTTGTGCTACTGAGGAACATTGCATTGCAGAAGTGCCTGAAAGTGAACTTGGGATTGAAATGCGGTCAGACCCAGCTTTGCCAATTCCCTGCTGTGTGACCTTAGAGAAGTCTCAGTCCTCTGAGCCTCAGTTTCTTCATCTGAGAAAGGGGATGATGATTTACAGCGAAGGATTTTCCGGGGATCGAATGAAGGGAGATGATGTCTTCGGAGCCCCTAGTATGTACCTAGCTCCTTAAAATCAGAGCTCACACTATTCTTCACAAGCGAATGTCCCTGGTATTCCTTGGGATCATTACTAGCAATTTTGAAAAATAAATTGTTGCCGTTTTCCAATGAAAAGGAGCTTGATAAGGTCAGTTCATCTCATACCAGAAGGTACGGATGCTGGCCGTCCTGGGTCTGATCCATCTTGTGGCACGATCACTTCACTGAGGACCCGGGCTTTCTCCCCTTCCTGCTCTGGTGACCGCACGGTTGGCATCCGTCCTCAGGCACGACCCCTCATGGTCTCAGGATGGCTGCAGCGGCTCCAAACATCACATACTCACATGCCGCTGCCCAGAAGCCTGAAGAGATCACTTATTTCCCTTCTGGTGTTCCTTTCTAACTTTCAAAAGCTTCTTTCCCAGAAGCGCCCCCCTCCCCTCCCCACCCAGCAGACTTCCTCTTGTGCCTTCTCGGTCACAGTCATGTCACGTTTCTCTTGCGGTGCATCCGGAGTTTGGGAGCCACCTGGTGGGACAGCTTGGCTTGGTGTTTCACGAGGGTAGTCACGTGAAGGCTGGGTGGGGTCGGGAGAGCTGCTTCCAGGGTGGCTCACTCGACGTGGCTGACTGTGGGTGGGAGGCCTCGGCTACACGGGCTTCTCCAGCGGCTGCTTGAGTGACGCCACGGCACGGCAGCTGGTTCTCCCCGGAACGAACGATCCAGGAGACCAAGACGAGCTGTAATGCCTTATATGACCCAGCCTCAGAGGCCACACTCCATCTTTTCCACCGTGTCGTCGAGGCCACACAGGCCAGGCTTGAGTCCGTGTGGGAGAGGATGTCAGTGTGTGAACACAGGAGGTGAGGATCGTTGGAAATTCCTGGAGGCCAGGTGCTGTTTGCATGGCGGTGTCTTCCTGTTTTTTAGTATATTTATTCTTTTGAGAGAGAGAAAGCACAGGAGGGGCAGAGAGAGGGAGAGAGAGAATCCCAAGTAGACTCTGTCCGCGCTGTCAGGCCAGAGCCCGACATGGGGCTTGAACCCACAAAACGCGAGATCATGACCTGGGCCGAAACCAAACGTCGGACGCTTAACCCGCTGAGCCAGCCAGGCGCCCGAATGGCAAGTGTCTTCTGATTGGTGGTCACTTGCACTGCCCCGCCTCTCTTTGCAGTCAGATCATAACTCTCAAACGCACCTTCGGAGTCTGTGCAAACTCCATCCAGCTGTCCCCACGTGATGCGGCATCAGCCTGAACCCCGATTTTCCTCGTGTAGTTTAAAAGTGGGGAAGAATTGGCCTCAGAGGGAAGACACACTAGCCGTCAACCGCCAAATGTGTGGCAGTTTCAAAAATTGACACGGTGTGGCCCCGTGTCTGGCAGATAGTAGGTGCTCATTAAATGTGTCCAGAGACACGTGGATGAGATTTGGGCCGTCCTGGCAGCTCTCCCAGGTGGATGAAAATCCACCTGTGAACTTCAGACCAGAGAGAGGGTACCTCTGCTCAGCTGCAGCTGGAATTCTAGACACCAGGGTGGGAGGGCAGGACTCTGGGATTCCTGGACCCGAGCGATGGTTCTGGAAGAACGTCCTTCTGGTCACCAGAGGAGCTGCAGGGGCCTTATTTCTGAGGTGGGCTCCCTTTCCTCTTTCACGTGGCCCAGTACTGGAGCCACCACCTGCCACGGGTGCAGTTCTGACGCTCACAGTGGCATCGTCCTCATTTGACAGTTGTCACGTTGCCGTGGGTCGGCTCTTGCTTCTTGCCCACGCTCCCGCCCACCGGTGCCCTCAGAGCGTGCTCGGAGCCAAGTGGGAAGCCTGGCCACAAGAGGGGAGCAGAGCCCATCCTGCTTTTCTTGAGGCTCCCGCGGCGGAGTTCCAGGCTTCTGGACGGTCTCCATCCCTTCCCATGATCCCTTTCCCGTGCCGGCTGATTCCCGAGACCCTCCTGCTCCTGGCGAACGTGTGTACTTCTAGTATTTCTAGACAGAGAAACGTGTAACAGCCAGAAGAGATTCCGCATGTGAGGAAAGCCTCACGCTTGCCTTTTATTCGTGGACGTGGCGTCTGATGGCAGGAGCCAGCATTATGGCTGAGTGCTTGTTGAGTAGGAGGTCCCGTGGCGGGCTCTGCTCCTGAAATCCTCAACGTTGAATTCCAGCGGCTGGGACGTGGGAATTACTCTCTCCGTGTTAGAGACGGGGAAACAGAGGCCCAGAACTGTTACAGCACCCAGCTGAGAACTGGTAGAGGAGGTCACGTGGCCCCCCCCCCCCTCCCCCCCCCCCCCCCCCATTTTTTTTTTTTTTTTTTTTTTTTTTAATGTCCTGGGATGGTCTCACCTCCCCGTCCCTTCCCACATTCCCCACCGGGGGTGAACCCCTGGCCTAAGGTTCATGGGAGTCTGATAGGCTTCAGAAAGCTGGGTGGGGGCAGGCCTGCCCTACGGGCTCATAACTCATCTCTGGTACTTTTTTGTTTCAGCACACTAACGACTTTGCCCTGTACACAGAAGCCATCAAATTTTTCAACCACCCCGAAAGCATGGTTAGAATTGCTGTAAGAACCATAACTTTGAATGTCTACAAAGGTAGGCCTTCTTAGGAGCTCACGCCTTGTCTGACTTCTGACTGGGGCTTGCTCCCATGAGTCTGCATTTAAAATTCTCTGGTGGCACGGGGAGCTCCGTTATTATGGCTGGGGTTGCATGTGTCATGCAAGGCTCGTAATCGTGGGACATTTAACTGGCCCCTTGGGTGAATTTTGTGCCGCTCTCTTGGTGCATACTCAGTTCTGCATGCTGAAGTCTTACACCAGATGCACAGTACTAGTGATGTCCTAAGAAAGGCACAGGTGGGACTCCAGCTGCCGTGTGATAACTAGAAAAGGCAAAGCTGCCTCTTAAACGTTATATTTACATTTTTGTGTCTCCTGCGGTAAGATTTCCATACGGCCCTGGGGCTATGTTGTCTTGAAATAACATTTAAACGAAGCATTTTGTGCTTCATTTTGTGTCACCGACAGCAGGGGGCAATATCGTATTCTCAACTGACTGCAAAGCCCAACGAATTCTCTCTTCAAGATGTGCTTAATGCCCACAACATCCCCTCCAGAGGAGGCCCTTCCTCGGGTTCCTGCCCGCATTGGCATAAAGGCCGGCTGGACGCGAGTTTCCTGGCCTGGCACCGCCCGGGGAGGGCACGCCTTCTCTGCGCGACCCGGGGATTATTTCCCCGGTGGTCACCACACTGGAGCTGGAGCTCCCATTTTCTCCAAGAATAAAGGGCTTTGACCTTCACAAGCATGAGTCATGACGTTATGACTTGAGATAACCCTTACTGGGGTGGGGAAAGGTCCTGAGGGACTCACTCCAGCCTAGTTCTGGGATCGCACTAAATTGGAGAGTGTCTTTAAGAATCCAGTGGGGGCCCACCCAGGGTCGCAAACTGAGGGCCTGAGAGCCAGATCCAGCCCTCAGACATGTTTCGATTGGCTAAGGTATTCCTTGACAAGATGTATAGTTGCCCGTATTTAAACATTGGGAGATCTCGGGTAACTATCTGCATTTCTGACTTGAAAGAGATTTGGCCCTTCTGGGCCCACAGCCCCGCAGAGCAGCTGCGGTGCCGGTGAACCGGGCTCCCCGGTTCACACACTGGGCCTCCCAGCCTCACTCACTGAGTCCCCGGCCCACCCAGCAGGCTTCTGAGTTTGCGCCCTGGTCCAAGCCCCGGTTCTGCGGCCCCCTGCTCTCTCTCCTCTCTTGTTCTCTTCCAGCCTGTATCTTTAGACACCTTCTGCCCAGCTCTCTGTTCTCTGAGCAACTGTCTCACCATCCCAGTTCTTAACCCTGTTAACTGTTGTCTGTTTTTTGCCTTTCCTTCAATGACGATTCCCGTGTTCCTTATTCCAGTGTCATGTAAGTTATTAACTTCTGGTTTTCTGCTTTCTTAACTTATCCTTACATGTTAACACAGGAAACTTGCCTGAGAATGGCATAGTTTCATTGTAGCCAAGCTAAATGCATTGCTGAGAAAGTAGGCTTTCTAATTGCACTATTGAGGTTTAGCCCAGTTAATTGTATTAATTATAAAAATAGCATAAGAACTGCCTTGATGAGTATGATTTCATGAATGAATAAGCTAACCATTTTCAAGTATTCCCAGGAAAGACAGAAAAGGTTCAGATGATAGCAGAGAGCTTTTTTCATTGTGGTTTTCTTTTCTTTTCTTTTCTTTTTTTTTTTTTTTTTCAAATCTCCCTAAGTTATTTTTGGTGGCTTGACTTTTTTTTCTTGTTCTTTTGTGAATTTTCTCAGTGGATAACCAGGCCATGCTGCACTATATCCGAGATAAAACTGCTGTTCCTTACTTCTCCAATTTGGTCTGGTTCATCGGGAGCCACGTGATCGAACTCGATAACTGTGTGCAGACCGACGAGGAGTAAGTGACCATCTGGGGGGCTTATCAGGCAGACAGAGTGGTTAGGGGAGATTTCCGTGTTCATTGAGCAAAAGTAAACGCTAGAGCAAAGTTCGCCCACCCTTGTGTAGGCGGAATGTGAACTTCCATAGGCTGAAAGGTTCCTCGCACCATTCCGCTTTTTGTAACGGCGGAATGTTAGAAACAACCCGCAGACCTCCTAGAGGGGAAGAGGACCGGTAAGTTCAACACCCCCATCGATGGGGTGCCCGGCAGCTGGTAAAAAGAGTAAGACGACCCGTCACCTGGTGGGCGAATAAACAAAATTCAGTCCTTGCAGGTGGCAGAGTAGTGCCCGGGAGTAAAAAGGGACAGAGCTCTGGCACGTGCTGCCCCGTGGTTGGACCTCGGGAGCATGAGGCTCAGTGAGAGAAGCCAGATGCAAAGGACTGCGTTTTACCTCACCCTGTTTTCTTTTCTTTTATTTATTTTCATTAAAAAAAAAATTTTTTTTAATGTTTATTTTTGAGAGAGAAAGCATGTGAGTGGGGGAGGGGCAGAGAGAGAGGGAGACACAGAATCCCAAGCAGGCTCCAGGCTCCGAGCTGTCAGCACAGAGCCCGACGCGGGGCTCGAACTCACAAACCACGAGATCATGACCTGAGCTGAAGTCGGACGCTCAAGCGACTGAGCCACCCAGGTGCCCCATATTTTATTTTATTTTTAGAGAGCGAGAGCCCATGCAGGAGTGGTACACCAGGGAGGGGCAGTGAGAATCTTAAGCAGGCTTTAAGCTCAGCATGGAGCCTGAGGTGGGGCTTGATCTTACGACCCTGAGATGATGACAGCCGAAATCAAGAGTCGGACACTTGGCTGACTGAGCCACCCAGGCACCCCGTGTGACCCCGTTTAAATGAAATGCCCAGAACAGGCCAGTCTGTAGAGACCGAGGATAGACGAGTGGTTTCCCAGGGCTGGAGGAGCAGACTTGCAAGGGGAAATAGGAGTACAGGGCTTTTTTGGGAGGGGGGGTTAAAAGTGTTCGAGAGCGGATCGTGAGGATGGTTGGACAGCTGTGTGAATGGTATGCGGATTATAGCTCAGTAAATCTGTTTAAAAACAACAACAACAACAGGGGCGCCTGGGTGGCGCAGTCGGTTGAGCGTCCGACTTCAGCCAGGTCACGATCTTGCGGTCCGTGAGTTCGAGCCCCGCGTCGGGCTCTGGGCTGATGGCCTGGAGCCTGGTTCCGATTCTGTGTCTCCCTCTCTCTCTGCCCCTCCCCCGTTCATGCTCTGTCTCTCTCTGTCCCAAAAATAAATAAAAAAAACGTTGAAAAAAAAATTAAAAACAACAACAACAACAACAACAACAACAACACACACAGGTTAAGGTGGCGATTCGGGCCCCAGAGCGATGAATACAAGTTCCAGAGCAGGATTTCTCCGTTTCGGCGGCACCACTGATCTTCGGAACTGGGTAACTCTGTGTCGTCGGGGGTCGTCCCGCACAGAGTAGGATATTTAGCGGCCTCCCTAGCCTCCGCCCACCAGATGCCAGGAGCACCCCTTTTCCAGTTGTTTCAGCCAAAAATGTCTCTAGACATTGCCAGATGTGTCCTTTAAGGCAAAATCACCACAAGTGGGCAACCACTGCCCCGGAGGGACAGCTGAGCAGAGAGACCTGGTGAGAGGCACATCTAGGCAGGCTCAGGATGACAGAGGGATCCATCCGGGAAGGAGGGGTGCTGGAGGAGGGGCCCAAAGCCATAGAACCCTAGCTCCCAGACTGGGGAAGTAGTGGTGGATCTGACGGGACATTCGGGAAAACCAGGACCTGTACAGAGATGAAGAGTCACGGATGTGAATGAAACATAACGTGGCACTTGATTCCAGAAAAGACAAAAAGTCATTCCAGGAAGGAAGTGGACTCCTTGTCCTCTGCGTGGCTCTCCCGTGAATGGTTGTGATGATGTCAGTATCAGTTCTTGGGGCTGGGTGGGGGGCGGGGGGAGGGAATGCAAAGTGTTCCGTCCTAACAGAAGGCCACCATGTGATATTGAAAATGGCTCAACTTCAAAGTAGAAGAAAGACTTTGCAGATTGTAGAGGTGGAGGAGGTGGGGGGTGGGGCCTATCCACAGAAACAAGTAAAAAGTTAACACCTGCCTTCTCTGGAGATCAGGCAGGGGTGAGGGAGGCTGGGCTAGGGCTGCTGTTTGTTATTATCAGCTTATCAATACCATTAAACTTTTATTTGTGTCTTACTTTATTTTTTGAGAGAGAGAGGGTGCAAGTGAGCAAGGGGGAGAGAGAGAGAGAGAAAGAAAGAGAGAGAAAGAAAGAAAGAAAGAGAGAGAGAAGCAGGGCTCGAGCTCATCCACTGTGGGACCCAAACTCACCAAACGTGTCGTCATGACCTGAGCCAAAGTCAGAGGCTTAAGGATTGAGCCACCCAGGTGCCCAATACCATTGAACTTTAAAAACCCATCTGCATGTACTTTTCAAACTAAAGGTTTAAGACACGAAGTACATCAACTCTTCTGCTAAAGAAAAATTCTCACAGCATCTTTTTAAATGGGGGGAAAGGTTGCGAAACATTGTGAATAAGTATTGTGGGTCTCAGCTGGGTGGTGGGTTCATAGGTAATTATAGTACTATTAGGCTTACAGGGTGTATTTGCTATAAATATTCGGGATGTATTTTGTTAAAGTATGCTACGGAATAATTATTAAAGGTTACATAGAAGAAAAATTGATCCTATTATTTTTTTTTTTTAAAGCACGTTATGCGTCTTGATGGATATTTAACAAACGCCTTTTAGATGTGACTCTACGGAGGCATAGACACGGGGAAACCAGACTGTAGGGTCCCTCATTGACAAGTCCCCACATGTTCTCTGTTAGTGGCGGGACTACAGGAGACCTTCACGTCTTTTTGCTTCTATTCTTTAATTTCAAGCCTTCTGAAATGGTGGTCATAATTACGATACAAACAAAATGAGTTACCCCAGCCCCGCCGCCCCTTGCAACAGATGCCAGCTTGGAGGGAGTGTAGGTGTGCCGACTAGCTCTTTTAGGGGTTCTGTCCTTGGCAGGCGTGCGTGCGGCTGACAACCTGAGAGGCCCAAGCAGTGTGCTTGTTGCTTTACTGAAAGGAGACAGAGACCTCTGGGGGCCTGGGGCTGGGGTGTCCCATCCCTGCGCTTTGCCCCATGTGTAGCCAGGGCCAGGGGGGTTGGATGTGGCCGCCGAGGCCTGCTTTTCTCCCTGGAACCCCTCGGGAGCATTTTCGTCCTCCGGGATTTATTGCCGCATTAATTCTGCTTATCTTGGGAGGCAGGGGGTCTTGCCACATTGAGTAGTGGTTGCTCTTGTGGAATGGCTTGCTAAGGGAGCTGGGTTTTGCTTTATCTACCCATTTTGTTTTGGGTGGCGGTGGTGGGCGAGTTGTAGGGAGGCCCCCAGAGGGTGGGGGGATCCCAGGAGTCCCCTGAAATCGATCGTGGTGCACCTGCCCGTTTTCACTTCGTGCATGCCGCTGGGAGGGCCGCTGTAAGTGGCTCTTGAGCCTTCGTTTGTTGTATGAATATTTGTTGTGTGAATGAAGCACCCCCGGTGGCCCCCATGGGCTCTGTGCTTCGGCTTCGCTTCCCGGCTAAGGCTGTCGTTTTTCCTGGCAGGCACCGGAATCGGGGGAAACTGAGCGACCTGGTGGCCGAGCACCTGGACCACCTGCACTATCTCAATGACATCCTGATCATCAACTGTGAGTTCCTCAATGATGTGCTCACGGACCACCTGCTGAACAGGCTCTTCGTGCCCCTCTATGTGTACTCACTGGAGAACCAGGACAAGGTAGGTCTGGGCGCCTGGCCCCGCCGTGCCTGTGGGCTGTGGGCTGTCTTCAGAAGGGGGAGGAACGGTCACCTTGAACAGGACCAAGCTTTGCCAGCCACCAAGGCTTTGAGCCCGAGAGAGAGATTCCTTTCAAAGCGTCCTGGTTTTCTGTTCCCTTCCTTTTATTTCCTGGGGGTGGGATGGTTAAGGTGGAGAGAGAGGGGTGCAAGGGAGTGTGTTTGGGGGTGGGGGCTGGCTGTAAAAGTGAATGAGAAGAGAACACTGACATGAGAAGGAAACAGGAAACCTCTGTGAATTTAGATTTTTGGTTTCTGTTCATCCTTCTCTTGGGATGTTCTAAAGCCTGCTAACTTTTCCGGACGGTCGCCAGAGCTCACTGATCTGCAGAAGACCCAGCCAGCCCCAGCACTTGCACACGATGGGTGGGAGGTGAGGGAGCGCCCTTAGGGAAACAGCCCAGAGCAGACACTGCCTGCAGGTAGGCTCAGAATCCGGTGTGAGTGTTGACAGGCACGTCTGCATCGTGAACCTGTCGGCCACGTGGCTCTGAGCTGGTGGCTCTCCGGTCCCACCGTGAGGAAATCTGCCCCGTCCTTCTCAGTTTCAGGGGCGGAGGCCCCCACAGGAGGCAGGATGGAGTCGGCTGGTTACCCTGCGGGGGCTCCAGCCTCTGCACACGTGCCTCCAGGGCTTGGAGCTTTCTTCTTGGAGGTGGAACATGGAGATTCTTCCTAAGAACAAATAAATAAAAAAAAATTGCAGCCCTAACTAGATCCGTCAGAGGCTGGGCGGGGCCGGGGGCGGCAGAGAGAAAGCACGGGACTTGGAGTTTGCAGACCTGGGCTCAAGTTCTGCTTCTTCCCTTTGCTCACTCTGTGACCTTGGACAAGGCAGCTGACCTCCCCCCCCCCCCCCCCTCCCCCCCCCCCCCCCCGAGCAAAACGAGGGTCCTGAGGGTACTCACAGGGTCGATGCGGGATGGAGCACGTTGAAGTTCAGTTACCAGCGCGGGGTTTTTCCTAAGCCAGAGGGCCCCGACGCCTCCCTGCCCCATTTTGAACGCTCTTCCTGAGAGCAGGCCTCCAGAGGCCCGTCCTGCCAGCCAGCCACTCTGTGCCCCAGCTGGGGGAAATTAACATTCCTGGTAATTTAAGGGGCTCAGCTTTCTCCTGGACCCAGCCTCTGGTCCGTGACTCATGGTGAAGGACTTCTCAGGTAGAAAAAGAGAGGCCTTGAGACGGTGTTGGATGGGATCAGGCTGCGAATTTATTTTGCAGAGTGGACTTCTGACTGGTACCGGGAAAGAACAGCCTTAGGGTCACAGAGGAAGCGGGGGACGGGGCGCCTCTCCTTCAGACAGATGGCTTTTGGCTTCATTGTCTTTTGTGCTGCTCACATGTGTGACCAGGACCTCTCTCTCTCTCTCTCTCTCTCTCTCTCTCTCTCTCTCTCTCTCTCTTTCTGCCTGACCTTCCCTAGGGAGGAGAACGCCCGAAAATCAGCCTGCCGGTTTCTCTCTATCTCCTGTCGCAGGTATGTGTCATCATTTGTCTATGTCCCCAGCCACATTTGGGAGTCCTTTGGAGGACCGGGCCACGTCACCCTGTCTTCTCTCTGTGTCCCGTCTTGAAATAAAACAATAGAAGGAAGGGCGGGGGGTGGTTCTACTTTTCAGACGCTGAGTAGAGGTTCTGCTATCTTCTTCATGGTAATAGATGGAAATTGAAAGGAAAATGGAAAGTGAATCAGACCTGGCCCTCACCTACTTGGTTTTTACCATGGGGACTGAGGTTTCCACACAACCAAGGGGCGTTCGGAATACTCTGGAAATGTGGATGGCATGGGTGTTACTCATGGCGTTTTGAAATAAACCCCAACTGCAAGACCCAGTGCGTGTATCTCTCTGCAGCAACCTCCGTTGAACGGATTTCCACTAACGAGGCTGTTTTCAAAGGCTTTTGTCGTGGTTGTACTTCCCAGATTACCTTCTGGAAGGTATCTTGTAGCAGCCTCCGTTCCCAGATTTGTGTCTTGAGCCAATTTGTCTGCTCCCCCTCCTTAAACAAGTGTGTTTCCTTCTCGTAATTATGTAATATTTACAAGAAAGGAAAAACTCCATGGTGACCCAGTTACATAACTTTAAAAATATTTTTATTACAAGCAGTCCAGACTTTCAGGCCATCTCATTAGACTGTCAAATAGTCAAACGTTTGACCAGAGCTCTGTTCCCACTTCTGCAATGGCACAGGTATTTATTTGCTTTGCTGAGAGAAAGTCCTTCTAACTTGGTCCCTGGGCCGTTTGGAGGTGGAGGACTGAGAAGAGAGAGAGAGAGAGAGAGAGAGAGAGAGAGGCGCAGCCGCAGCCTCCCCGTGGAGGCTAAGCCAGTTGGGGTCCGTGCGTGGCCTGCCCCTTTCTCCCTCACAGAGTCTTGTCCCGAGGGCTTTGTGCTCCGAGCCCTGTGCTGGTGCCCTCTCCTTCTGAATGCCTCTCCGTGCAGCGCAGCTGCGTGCAAACCCCCGCCTCTCCCGGCACCTTCCTCTGCTGCCTTATTACAAATCTGCCCGAATCTCCTGCTTGGCGTTCTGGGAGTCTGGCAGGACCTGAGCAGAGAGACGCTCAGCCCCGGGAATCCCATAGAAGGCGCTCCTAGGACCCACTAGCTGTGGGAGCGTTGCACCGGCGGAGTCCCTGTGAGGAGTGTGGGGTCAGCGCTCGCCCTTTCTCGGAGAGCCCCTTACCTCCTCTTTTCTGAGCGAGGGCCTAACAGCTCAGGCACCAAATTACTCGTTTGAGTAGCTCACAGAAAGCAGACTTGTGAGCCGGTGCTCCAGGGCCCGTTCTCCCTGTTCCTTCCGTGGAGCTGTTCAATGTTGTCGCCCAAAATGCACGAGAGCCTCCAATGGGGGGTAATGCCATGTCCCTGATCCCTACGTCGGAGCATCCTTATGTGTGATTTGACAGACAAAACTACAAAACCAAGAAAATTCCCATTGACGACATTAATTTAGTGTGGCCGGAGATGCTGTCCTTCAAGAAGTTTCCCTCTTACCTCTTCCCCCTGTCCCCTGATCCTGCTTCTCAGACATAGCGGCATTTCAGCGTTTGGCTTTGCCGGGTTTTTTGTTTTTTGTTTTTTAGTTATTTGTTTTTTTTTTTTTTTTTTTAAAGTTTTTTTTTTTTTTTTAATTTATTTTTGGGACAGAGAGAGAGACAGAGCATGAACGGGGGAGGGGCAGAGAGAGAGGGAGACACAGAATCGGAAACAGACTCCAGGCTCTGAGCCATCAGCCCGGAGCCCGACGCGGGGCTCGAACTCACGGACCGCGAGATCGTGGCCTGGCTGAAGCCGGACGCCCAACCGACTGCGCCACCCAGGCGCCCCTAGTTATTTGTGTTTTCAACACTGCTTATTTTTTATTTTTTAATTAAAATTTTTTTATCTGGGGAAAGGAAGAGAGCACGTGTGTGCGAGTGGGGGAGGGGCAGGGAGCGAGAGGAAAGGAGAGCGCGTTCCAAGCAGGCTGCCAGCTGTCGGCACAGAGCCAGACTCGGGGCTCGATGTCGCGAACCGTGAGATCATGACCGGCGCTGAAATCAAGAGTCACATGCTTAACCGACTTAGCCACCCAGGAGCCCCTAAACAATGGTTTTTTTTGGGTCTTTTAACAGATTTTTTTTTTTTTTACGTTAAAAAGTTCAAAACAGGTGAAGACCAAGTTTTCTATCTACTTTTGTTTCTTCTCCTGATTTCTGTCCCCAGAGTCTACTGTAGTCACAGGGTTTTCTTACGCTCTTCCAGGCAGGCACATTGTCTGCAGAGGTTTTCAACTGGGGGTGATTTTGCCTCCCTTCCTCCCCCACCCCCCTCCAACATCCGGAGACATTTCTGGTTGGGTCGAGGCCAGAGATGCTTCCAGACATCCTACGGTGCACACAGCAGCCCCCCACAACAAAGAATTAGGGCCGGATCATAGCGCCAGGGCTTAGAAATCCTGTTCCGTGTGCACGTGAGCAAATGCAGATGGGCGCACACGCCCTTTTTCTGTGTAAACGGTGCACGTCCCCCACTGTGCTCCACTGCTGCTGTTGGCTTTATATTGTAACACAAAGTAGCCGGCGTGTCTGAGCCAGCTTTGCGAGGCACCTTTGAATACCCTGATTCCCAGCGCCACTGTCCTGAAGGTTGGGCCACGGGCTGGGGTGGCAGGGCCATCCCAGACGGCCCAGTGCCTTCTCGTTCCACATGCTGGCCCGGCTGGGTCTGCTCTGGCTCCCGTGGCTTCTCTTCCCCACAGCGTCCACACCTCCCGACACTGCCACGGAATCTTGGTGCTCTGAGACCCACCGCGGGGGCCCCAGCGCATTCCAGCCGTGGGCTCTGTGTGGAGACGACGGTCTGCCAAGTCCTGGACGGGAACGAGACTCGCCGGCCCCTTCCTCCCGTATAACTGAGATGTTGGGTCTGTGCCTTCCAGTCTTAGCGTAATCAGATTCGACGCTGAGATGCCTGTGGAGGGGAAGGAGTGTGCTGCTTTGCTCCACTTCAGTGGGATTTGGCCTCCCCCGGCCATGAGGGACCGTCTTGCTTTGATGCACTTCCTTCCGCTGGGGAGCAGCCAGCCAAATAGGCAACAGTCTGAATGAAGGAGCGGCCAACCCTGGGAGGAGAAAGGCGTAACCGCTTTCTCCTAAATGAGACCCATTCTTTGGATTTTGCTTCACGGGAGTTGCTGTTCAATAGGAGAAGCGGAGAGAGCACACGCTTTAACGCAAACCCGGTGTCTTCTTTCTCACCAGGTCTTCCTAATTATACATCACGCACCCCTGGTGAACTCACTAGCGGAAGTCATTCTGAACGGTGATCTGTCTGAGATGTACGCTAAGAGCGAACAGGATGTTCAGCGAAGTTGCGTAAGTCCTTAGCGTTGGGACCGTGTGTAGACATTGACAGGCCGTTGCTCGTTTTGTTCGTGCGTGTGTTTCTCTAAAACCAGAAACTGACATTCTGCCTGTACGGCAGCCATGATGGCGTATAAGCTGGTCTGAGACGCGAGGAACCCGATCGGCGTCTTGAAATGTGTCCCCAGGAGCATCTGGGTTTGGGTACTGAGCGGATTTGATTGATCGGATGTTATTTATTTATAACGGGGAGTTGTACTGCTCTGGGCCCTGGTTGCGAATCTGTGAGACACTGTTACTGGGACAGAATGAGAGCACACCTTGACGAAGGTACAAATGCCAGTAGAGACTGGACGGAGAACATCTGTGAATGACGCAGACCCCCGTGGGAGGGCAGCAGGGAGTGGTGGGGCCTGTGGCAAATTGGACAGCACACGCTCTCTGTCAGTAGCTGCGGTTCCTCCCCGGCCTGCGGCTCTGCCAGAACACGGATGCGGGGTTGCCTGGTTTCCTCGCGTTTCCAGACAAGCTGGAAATCCTCATTTTGATGCACATGCTCCCCCGTTTTAAACGATCACCCGCCTGCGGCCTAAGCACAGCACGTCTGCATTTTGTGCTCTGCTAACGGGAAGCTCCCGAGACAGGGAGACGGGAGTCAAGGCTTCTTCCCGCTTGGCCCCTGTGTATCTCACCTGTCTTCCCTCCCGCCATCGTCATGTGTGCTGAGCGCCAGGCTTCCTTAGTACTGGTCCAGCTTGCCTTTTCCCCTGCAGGCCCCGGGGTTCTGCCCGCACACCTGTACCTTCACCATACCTATGGCCTGGGAGGCCCTGGCTCCTCGTTCCCAGCCGAGGCAGGCGACTTGTCTCACTGTATCCGCTGCAGCTTGGGCCCGGCGGATGTGTCTGAGACGAGCCGGTGTTTCACACAGAGGCCGTTTCATGAGGACTCTGTCCCTGCGACCGGTTTCTCAGGCGGGGGGTAGAAAGCTCCAAGGGCTAGGCCTGCCCTTGGGCAGCCGGCTCTGTTGCCATATCTGAGGAAGCAGGTGGCGGAGGATCCCGTAGCGTGGGAGGCCAGAACTGCCTGCGGCGCGGTGACGGGGGGGGGGGGGCCCTGCCCTTCTGGTTTTTGTGGCCTACGATGGCTTGGCCGGGCCCTTCTGCCGTTGAAGGGAGTCTTAGAGCCTCTGAAAAGGTTCCCAGGCACTCTGTCCTTGTCGGTGGTGGCATCAGTTCAGCTGAATTGAATGGGGCCCTTTCACGGCCCCTGTCTGGTCTGTCCCTTCTTTGATTCGTTCAGAAAGGATTTATTAATTAAGCCCTTTGTTTGGAACAGGCATCGTGCTGGCTCTGGGAATGTACAAAATCCTAATGGTTTCTGTCTTTTTGGAGCTTTGTAGTCTAGTAGGAGTGACAGATGTCGCTCACATAAATATACAAACAAATGTACTGTCTCGAGTTTCACACGTGCTCTAAAGGGAAGGAGTAGTTTTTGGCGAGGGGATGTAACCTAGAGGGACAGGAGTGACGAGTATTGGACAGGACAGCCTCCCTTAGGGGCCCGTGCCACGACACTTCAGGCGGGGCAGCGTGGAGACGACTTGGTGTTCGTGGAGCCGGACAGTTTTCTTTCCAACTTTCTGAAACTCCCTGCTGCTGACCGAATGCGTGGGGTGGAGTGCTGACCCAGCAGAGTCGCAGGGCCTCGAGGGCAGAGCTGCCGATGACCGCCAGCCAGCGGGCCCCCTCAGGCGCATCGTCCTCCCTCCCCCCCACTTAGGAAACGGAGAGGGCGCGTCCTACTCTGGAGGGCTCTTGGTGGGGATGGGGAGGAAACACAGCTGAAGTGTCCATCAGGTACCCGGCAGGTTGCAGCCTGGCCCTCAAAGCCGTTTGGTTTGGTGTTCGCGGTATTTAACAGAGAATTCTATGAGTGACCAACGTCAACAGGAAGTTTCACACACAAAAAATCTGCATCTCGGGATTGTGTTGCAGCAGTCAGAAGGTCTGGTCCCCATTGTACACATGTTTCTGCTGCACGCTTCTCCGAGGCGGTCCCCATCGAGTCGGCACGTGTTTGCCATCAGACTCGCCCGGTCCCCATCCAGCCTGCTGCACGCTCCTAGGCCATTTCCATTCATATCACATTGGGCCGTGTTGAGTCTCCTTGGGCTTTCTTTTGTCGTGTGGTCTCCATTTCCCAAGATGGCTGCTCAGACTTCGTCCCACAGTGTCTTCGTGTGAGACATTCAGTGACGAAGTTGGACTTGGCGTTCAGAGGGACGGACACAGAGATCTCTGGGCTGCTGAGGTTTGCAGGCTTTCTCATTGCACTTGACTGGCCTGCGGCCACGAGAAATAATCACGCCCTTTCGCTGGTTATCCCCCCGTGGTCACATCTTGCCAGGACTCCAGCACGCTGTCACAGCAGGGTACTGGCATTGATGCTTGGGGTTTGCAATTTGAGCAGAAGCCAACTGCAGAATGTTACTGGCGACCGCTCAGCCTGGGATACCCACGGCGGTTGGGCCCTCCGACGAGAGGGAGCATTCGGGAGACCCGTCCTTTCTCCCGCCGGCCCCCTTTTTGGGGACGAAGTTTCTGCCTCCATTGTGACAGACTCACAGCGGCTCGTTGTGGTGGGCGTCTGAACTGAAAATGAGATTCTTTTGAGCGTGGAAGGAATTGCCAGCCCCAAGTGAAAGTGTCTGCCTTCTGCTTCCGGGTATCACCTTTGCCTGGGTGCAGAATCGAACTGTGTCGCGTTCGGATGACTGCACTTGAAAGTTGGGTGGAGTGGAGGTGAGTCCCCATCGGTGACTCGCTCGATAACAGTCCCGGTGAGACCCACCTTCCTTCCCTCTGAGCAAGAACGGTCTCCTATTGTTTCCTGCCTCACTCGGATGTGGTTTGATCGTGCTTGTTTTAAGTTTCTTGGTCTTTTTTAACCTACTTTCTCCTTCCCGTAATTTGTAGATAAGTTACTGGTATTGCTTCATTTTTACCAGCAGACCTTTCACAAAACCAAACCAAAATTGAAGAGAGAGGAGCAGAGGGAAGAGCGGAGTTATTTGAAAAGTCTGTAATTTAGGGTTAAATTTAAAACACACCAGCATGGCGAGGTGGATGCCGAATTGAAATTCGTCTGTGCATTAAAAATCATATGGTTCCTGCTCGGGGATAGTTCTTGCTATAATTCTAATGCAGAGCAGATCAGGTTTCGTGTTGAGGGAAATAGAGTAAGAGAACACTAATTCTGAAACTGCTAACGTCTCGTTATTTTTGCACAACGAACATATAGATTAGATTACGGGATATGCATCATTACCTATGGGTACCTTGTTGTTTTGTTGTTTTTTTTTTTAAAGAACCTTTTCTCACCCTCCATTTCTGTAGAATAGTTTCCTTCGTCTTGCACTCCTTCGTCCGTTCCTGCAACAGAGATGCGGTGGTGCGCGGGAGAGAGCGCTGGCCTCACTGGGCTTCCCACTCCCTGCGAGCCGAGGGGGCCTGTGCCATCACGGGCTTGCAGCCCATGCCCGGGGGCTCTCACTGCAGGAACAAGTGACTTGATGGGTGAACCGGGGGCGGGGTCACCAGGCTCTCATGATGCTGTTCTTGTTCACTCTCAAAACAGAAACAGCTTCAGAGCCTGATCCTCCCACGCCACCTGCTCAGAGGCAGGCTTCGGGGGAAGAGCGTCAGGGCGAGGTGGTCTTGGTGCTGTACTGCGTTCCGTCTTCGGGGACAGTCTAGTGGCGTGGACTCTGGAGTCAGACTGCCCCGGCCCCCCATATCCTGGCCCCAGGTCTCACTAGGTGTACCCCGGGGCAAGTTAGTCCATTGCTCTGGGCCTCAGTTTCCTCCCTTCTCTAGTTAGACTAATGCACACGGTGTCCGCTGCTTCTCCTAAAGCCTGGCGCACGTCAGGCCCTGATATTAGGTGTTATCGTCAGTTTCTGATGCCGCACGACAGCCCTGCGTCTCCTAGTTGGGGACCCCCCTTCCTGGGATGATTAATGTGGAGGCACACCCAGAGTACCCCTCGGGAGGTGCCTTATGACCAGACACAGAGGCACCGAGGGCCCGGTGTGAGCAGCAGTGGTAACAGTGACAGCACGAAGAGCAGCTAGCTTTGCCATTTGGTGGCGGGGGGCTGACCTGTCTGTGTGCATCCCGGGCCCTCCAGCTCACGTGGGCCCCGGATTCGACCTCCGGAAAGTGCAAGTACATAGCCGTTTCGTGGGTGCTCATGTGGTTGGCTGGCCGTGAATTCAGAGTGGGAACTGAGAATCCTGGGCCGGGATGGTTCGTCCCCAAATGATGATTTCGTCTCTGTGGGCACCAGTTCAGCTGGCTGGAATGGTCGCCAGATGATTCTCTGGGGATCCAGAAGAGTGAGCGAGTGCACACCTAAAACATGAGCCGCCGGCTCTCCACAGGACACCTGTCCTTCCTGGGAGCCGGATCCCCTGCTACCAGAACGCTCCGTGCACTCGTGGCCCGTGGAGCTGGTGGCCGCGAAACTAGCAGCCTGGCCCCTCTGGCTTCTGTGTTTGCGGAGGCAGCGCGCCAACGATCAACCAGGGCCCCCCGGTCGCTGCTTGCAGGGCTCTCTCTCCAAACCAGGCTGGACTCCGACGGCCGCCAGGCCTCCTGTGTATTGACTGCATCACGCGGAGTAGCCCCCCTCTGCAGCCCGAATTAGAGTTCCCCTGAATCTTTCGGTGGCCCCGACCTTCCCCGTGCCCCCGGTTAATCGTTGCTGATTCTGAAGGCCACACATTCTTCTTCCTGAAAGCCGTAAGAGGCTTCTGGGAGAGAGTTGATGGCGACTGCTGAAGGGAAAAAATAGACTGCTATGAATCAAGGGCCTTAATTGGCACAGATACAGACATTCCCACAAAGGAATTAGAACTCGTCGTGTCTTGTCCCTTTCTTGCGGGGCCGTTGTGGTCTACTCCATAATCCCTGAATGGAATTCGGGTCCCAGTCGCCACCGTTGGCTGC